TATAGAATTAAGAAAGTATATTCAATGTTGATGTAAAAAAAAAAAAAAAACATCAATATCAAGAGTAAAGGGATAATTGTTAGCATAATTGAACTTAATTGATAAATTTAAAAATTCATTTCCGTGAAAAGTTAGTTTAGCATAATGGCAAAGTTAGAAAATATTTTAGGAAATAAATTAAAATTTTAAGGATAACAATGATAAAAATAAAATTTTATGGACTTAATTAATCACTTTTCTAAAGTTAGGAGGGGAGCCTGGCTCACCTAGCTCAGCAAATGTTTAGCCAACAACACTTCGAACGGCCGGAAACAATTCGATTTGTTCAGTCATAAGGACAGTCCACAGATGAATATGACAGCACAAGAAAATTGGGAATCATGAGGTTGATTTCAACATTGTACTCCAATAATGCTAACAACTTTTTGGCATGATTAGAATACATCAACTTTGATGATTCAATTTAGATGGTATGTTCATCCGAGTCTAATCAAAATTAACATGTGAACCTCGTTGTTTTGTTGTTCTTATGGATGAGATGTTTTGTTGTTCTTGTGGACGATCTCGCTTGCATGTGCACACAAACACACAAACACACGATCACACTCATGCTTGCGTGCGCATACAGGCACATTTAGTTTGTAACTTATCTTAATTGACCAAATTTAATTTATAAAGTCTATTTTCTTTAAAACTAGTTTAGAATTTGTTTTACATGCTTGAGTTGAAATTGAATATTCTATGTGATCTATGTTATAATAAATAAATAAATAATATAATATATTTTTTAATCTTAGAGTATACATTAAGAGACAATTCTTTTTTATTCTTTAATCAATTTCACTTGCATGTTATGTAACTCAAACTTACAAACATTTTATTATCATTAAGTTATTTAGGTTATCAACAATAAAATAATCTTATAATTCATTTATATTAGGGCTTTTAGTAATTTTTGCAAGAGACATGAGTACAATTTATAGGAAGCTGCAACCAACCATGTTGCTGAAAGGGATGTGTTCTCATAATACTTTCTTACAGAGCAAACAAACCTAAGAAAAGGGGTTTCTCATGCTTACAGACAAGATTCATAAGATCATCCTTTTGTTTTTGGTATGGCAACAATGTCAAAATCAGACGACTAAATAATGAAGTCATGTTGGTATAATAATTACTTGTAGTTGTATTTTTTTTTTTTTTTTTTTTAGATCGGCGAAAAAGATCAAATTTATTGAGAATATAAGGGATACTTTAACCCGAACATACAACATTAAACTTTAAATACACTTTGCTCCAATTCCATCATACCTTATTAGGTTCAATCCCCTCTTCTACAATTGTGATCATTCCCCTAACTTAAAGCTATATCCCTACAGGGACTTGCACCTCACTGCCAAGTTACAAGCATGTACAGGGGAAACACACCACAAGTCTTTGGATATTTATGGTTGTATTCTTATTGTCCTAAGACGTTTCTTAAATTCATATTAGAGTCAACCAAAAGATAGTACCTACTACTGATTATATAACAATTTACTTGGATTTGGAGGATCTTTCAAATGATTTCCACTCTTGAGGAATGGACTGGCCAATTTAATCAAATTGCAACATACTAAATCCGTTGATCTATAGTCATTCCTCATGACAGAATACAATCCAAATCCGAACATTATCAACGGATGATGAATTTGTTGATGATGCGTTGATGATGTGAATGAATACTAGTACTTCAAACAAATCAAAACGTACACTTAACTAATGGCCGTTCTATTTTTTCCCCTAATCAGCAATACCCCCAATGCATTACGAATGAGAGATGATTCAAGGAACGAAAGTGCAACTTAAAGAACAGAAAAATGATTGAAAATTAAAGCTTTTCACACAACTGTGGATAGAAACAAGGCAAAAACTGCTCCAGAGACCTTTCCTTTGATCTAGGTGGAAGATTTGGACAAGATAAGCTCAAAGATCATATTTTCATCCCACTTAACACCTCTGAAAATAATCTCATTCATTTCTTGAGAACCAAATAGACCAAGCAGTAACTAGAATGGTGAGAATCCAACAGTTCTTAGGGGTGTTTTGGTTGGGATGCATGATCAAGTATGATTTGACATTAGTGGCAACACAAGATCTTAGGGGTGGCCCAAATTTCCCACTAATGCGTTTTTAGATGTCTTGTAGTACTAACTTTCAGAAACGATTGAAGATTAAAAAAAAAATCCACTCTGCCAAATATCATCTCAACAAAATTTAGGCAATCAATCAAGTCAAGACAAATTGTGGAAGCCTTTTTGAGCTAAACAAGCAAATACTAATTAAGATAAATGCGTTGGTCAAACAAAAACAGGTGAACTACTAGAGACTGAACCACTTCTTTTAAGAATTAGATACCATTTTGATAACTTAAGCCATCAGCTACATAGACTGGACAAACATTGTCCATGACCCATGTGAATTCAAAAACTGTTGTCAAGTATTTTTCTTAATGAAGAAACGAAGGGCCATACTCCATTAAATAGGTCCACACTCCACAGACAAGCCATGGTCATGCATGTGGGTTGCAGAGAGAGCTTTATGGGCCAAATTCGCTCCACATGCGCGCATGAAACATTTGGTCACTGTCTTCAGAAGCACCATGGGAAGGTTTGCCTTGTAGATGTCAAGAATTCACTGGCTACTACCTACCAATGTCTTGAGGGTTTTTGCTTTTGGTTCTTTGATACTCTAATAGGCTGGCAAGAAGATGTGGATAGAAGATAAGAGCGTTCTGCTGCAATGGAAATGATGTTCATTGCACTTACGGAGTTTGACTTTCCTTTTCCTTTTCTGGTAATAGGTCAATTAGATAATGGACAAGAAAAACAGTACCTAAAGTCCAATTCAATTAATGGAGTAGCACAACTAAAGAGCCAAAAGGGACCCTCAAAAATTTACATCTCATCGATATTTCACGCAATTAGGTCAAGTGACTTAAAATTTCAGGGTACACTGGTCCAGTCTATTTCTATATCAGTATTTGAATCATTTGATACATCCTCACAAATCCTATTGTAAATTACACTTTCCTGAGGCAAAATATATATGGGATTGTACAAACATGACTAATGGGAATACCTCCAATAACATTACCCAAAACTTATTATATAATTAAGGGTTCAAGAACCCTTTCAATTTTTAATATTTATGCCATGGGTGAACTGTGAAGTTCTACCTACCTCGGTAACCAGAAAGTAGCGAAATGGAAGAAAACAAAAGAGATGTCACCTGGTTTTTAATCTTTGTCTAGTGAATCTTGTGGTTCTTACTGTTGCTTGTCATAGGGTTTTGCTAGGTTTAGTTAGCCACACCTCCATTATTTAAGAAGTTTTGTCTTTAAGCTTTCTTTTGTATGGTTATATTCAATGATTCCCACATGGGCCTTCTTGATTGGTTCCTACATTGTCTTATAAAATTGTTGTTAAAAAAGTTTTGGTAGGAGGCTGTGTTAATTGAACGCATTAAATTCCCTTCACATGGCATCCCACATTCACATGTACAATTCATTAGTCTCTCAAACTCAGCCTCTCAACCAAGGATTTTTTCCCATACCCATAAAAAATTCATATCTGATATCTACTCTACAATCAATCATTTGGCCTTGGATTTTTCTTTCTTTCCTCTACTTTTTTTTTTTTTTTTTTTGTCCAAGGAAACTAACAGAATAAGATGAGGGTGCTTATTTCTAAGTGGCAATAATCAAGACAATAATTAGAAGAGTTCTGGGTAGGTTTAAATAAAATAACTGAAATAAACAGGTTTACTAACTGGATAACTAAAAGGGAATGATAGAATATAAACAAAGCAACAAAAACAACCAGATCTTTAATATTGAAGATGAGCAGCGAGCCTTAAACCTACATATGTCATATAAAATCCTTAAATTTCATTAATGCATTCAACTACTCACTATTAATGCACCTGATTTTTCGGGTCAAGTGGCCTTCAAGCTACTTTGAAGGTACACTCCCCTCCCCACCCTTGTCAACTTGTTCAAAAAAAACTACTCACTGTTAACATAAAACTAAATCCTCATGATACAAACTGATAATATATTAAATTTATTAAGGATACCCTATTCTAACTACTGCCAGCCTTTAAAAAATTCCCAAAGTTTAAATCTACCTACAAAACTGTGGGTTACTTCCACGGGAAAAGGTATTGAGATCTACAAATTTGTAGACTTTTTTCCAACTATAATTGGGAAGGAAACTGTTGGTTTTGAGCTTTTGCTATTAAATAAACTTCAATCATTTATGATTCAACTGTTTCAAATTTTCAGCACTCTCTCTTATCAGAAAATACAAAGTGCTGTCATTTCTGTCTACCGAGGTTTGATCATTTTTTTGTCTGTTTGTATTAAAGCAGTTGGAAACCACACTGCAGAAACGAGAATATCTAGAGAGAGAGGGAAAAACAGGTAAGAAGTTTACACTGATCTAGACTGTTGGTCATGGCATGGTTTACAAATTAGGTTTTTTTTGTCGTCCTTTTAAAGAAATTAGTGTATTTAATTATTACACCAACACTAAGGTTTAATCCAATAATAAGTAAATATCATTTTGTAGGTCAGATATAAAGTTTAAGTCTTGGGCTTAAGATCTAAAAAAATGCACTTGATTAATACAAGGATTGTGCCCTTAAGATTGCTTAATAAAGGATTAGTTTCGAGGCATACGAAAATTGACCTAGAGACACCCTCACCATAAACAAATAAATAAAGAAAGAAAAGAAAATTATTGTACAAATTTGATCTTAAAGGTAAGCATTAAGATAGGGTTCAATAACAATTCAAAACAACAGCTACCCATTGATGGCCAAAAAGAAATTTTAAAAGAACTGATTTATTACCCAATGTGTCCCCTCACACAAGTTCGTTGGACTTGGAACAAAAAAATATCAACCAAAGAATAGAATCATCAAACATCATGGGTTGGAAAATAATAAACGTAAAAACTTACCATATAAGGAGCCAAATAATTGTTTTACATATCAATAATAATCACATAATCAAAACTTGAAAGTTAGTAATCTTAGTTCTTTTCCTTTTTCCTTTTCATTTAATAGTATTTTGAGTAGCCTATGATTACTAAACTAATTCAACTCCTCTAATTAGATCAAATGTAGGTCATTCACATTGTCATAAGGGAATAGAAGAGAAACTACCACCTAATGGCCTCCCAAAAAGTCAAACTTAGATCAATAAAGTTAGAAGCAAATTCCTTTCCTACCAAACCAATCCCTTAGGTTGAGTAAAACCTGATTAGCCTAGAGCTCCACCTGTGTACCATTCTATATTGCAAAAGTATTGAGGCTCGAGAAGGTTTCAATTCCTACAACTCTTACATCAATACATAGAATTCTTTTCATATATTCCTCAATAAATTACTCTAAATATAACATACAATAGAAATTTCAGAAATATCTTTTATTCTTCGCATATGTACACCTAGTACCATGCAGTCATTTTGGGAGTTAACCAGTAGGTTTTCTCAAAACTACATGGTGTAATGACTTAAATCTAATGAATGCTTCGTTTTACAAATAAGAAACGACATATGTTGCATTCTTGTTCAGTGAAAAGCAATTTCAACCTACACCTATCCATCCATATCAATGTTAAAGGCACCGATTATAAGCTAGTTATATCAAATTCACTATATGTCATCTTTAGAGTCGTACCATAGGTTTGTGTGGCGGGGTTCTCAGCTGAGATTGCTTGGTAGGGAAGAAGAAATTGTGATGGCCGAAGGAGCACTCCAATCGTCAATGAGTTTGAGACATGTTGACAAGACAGTAGGTACCATAACTAGGACCCACCATGTGCCAAATGAGAATTTGTGTCAATTTGCCATGTGCTTGACCCTGCGTGGCCCCATTCTACCGAATGATGATGACTCCACAACAAATTATTTCCCGTCTTCTTCAGAACTGCAAAACTTTATATGGCATTCAATACGACTAAAAAGATATATCATGATATTGAAATAAGTTAAATAATTGAAATAAAATATATATAGCACCGTAAACTTCATTTATTTTCCAGTTTGACGATACGTTATATACAAGAGGCAACTTTCTCCTTTTACTAACCCGAGATCATAACCTGTCTTCAGATTTAAACGTGATAAACCTAACTTGAGAGTCTTATGTTTAAATTGTTTATCCAAACCCAATAAGAGATGATTCAAAGATTGACAGATAGCAGTTAGTCTTGGTAACCCTGAGATTTCAATAAAAACAATCTAAAGATTACAAATTTACAATTCAAGCTCATTGCTGTTAGAGCGGATTGTACAACCTTTCTCATAAACGGTTGAATCCACATTCAATGCACATATCATACAAAACCGTTATATTGTAGAATTAACCGATCCAGATAGCTTACCTGAGGTTTCAAGATTCTGACTGATCTAGCATTGAACATTGATACCAAACATCTTTCTGTTTTCTGTCAAGAAATCCCTGCAAATTTCAAACTTTTTTAAGTTCTCATTGATGATTTAGAACAGTAATCACAATTTTCAAAATAACCATCATTATCCAGTAAACTAATGACATTTACCAAGATGATAAGTTCAATAAAGGGTTTCTATAGCAACAGAAATTACTGAAGGGATACAATGCAGAAGGTTTTTCAATAAAATGCATGATCTTTATATCAATCACCGTTATATTTACACAACTCTTGCCTTCTGTGTGCTGTAAATTGCGATCAGTAGTTAAAAATAGATAGGCTAAATGTTTGGTACAACAGGAAGTGATACAAATAATCCTGGACAAGAAAAACCAGATTTCAATTAATCTTCATCTCAATATCTTCGTTCCCATTTGAAACACTATCAGAATTATCTTGTGGAAGTAAGCCAAGTAGTGGCAATGGCAGCAACGAACTGAGATTGCAGAGGATTATCAAGAATGCTAAGTTATCAAAACTATCCTTGGTTACACCAAAGAGCTGTGTCAAACCAGCACCAATCAGGCCCCCAACAACACTGCCTCCATTTGACACAGACATTAGAGTGGCAAAAAGAGTTGCTTCCATTCCCTCTGGACATAACTTTGCTGCTAGTACAAGAACAGGCATGAAAGACACCTACATTGTTATCAATTTTTTAACATGGTTAGAAGAAAAACCATTTGATCTTTTGGAGAAAAAAGGGGGGGAGCAGTATGTGCAAAGAATCATTAAAGCAGGAATTGCAGTCAAATAGAATAAAAATAGTGAGTAAATTTAATACCTGACTCAGAACCGTTAGAATCAATGAATCCCCAATTGCAAACCATTCATCACTTATGCCAAATTCCCGGTTCAATCCAGTAACAAGAAAGACCTAAGCAAAGATAAGTATAATGTTGATAAATGCCATGAAAAACATTATTTAAATGATCAAGTAGTCTCAACGAAAAACAAAACATATGCAAACCTGAGTCATTCCAAGAGCTGTACCAATAACAGTTGTTACAAGAAAAATCTTCCGCAATGGAACATTTTTTAGAAATCCATTATACAGTCCAACTCCTAGTAATGATGCAAAAGAGGTAACAAGCTTGACACGTCCTAGAAATTCTGGGGTGAAACCAAGTCTATTTGTGCTGAAACCAAAATAAACTTTTGTTTCAGGTTCAAAATGGATACCCAAAAATAGGAAGATCAAAGTAACTATATAAGGTCAGGAAGGATTTACGTGAAGAAAAACATAGCAGAGTCTGATTGTGGTGTTGCCTGCCACAGGAAAATAAAAAATGTGGGCAGAAATACTTTCGGCTGCCTCACAGCTTTGCACAGCTCTATGACATGCTCTCTTGAGCTTTCAAGAAAGCTAGGGCTGGCAAAAGGGATATTCTGTACCCTTGCTGGTCCAAGAACACGCTGTTCTTTTACAAGAACAGCAACTGCAGATGTTATCAGCGGTAGCAATGCCGTGAGACCAAAAACAAATCTGAAATGTTATGCATCACCAAAATAAGTAGCTGAAATTATCATTGTCCTAGGAAATTAGAGTTTAATGCCCATCACTTTAACCACCTTACACCATAAGCATCAACCAGGGAGCCGCTGAAGTAGGAGCTCACAATTCCACCAAAAGCTGAAGATCCCCAGCATAAAGACTGAAGAGATCCTGACATACTCTGTGACTCACCACGAGCCCTCTCAACGACCATAGAATCTACAACCTGCAACAGCATAGAGGTTTAAAAAGAAATTGAATTGGATAACTCTGAAAGAACCAATTTTTAAGGCTAACAATCAAAATACTTTGAAGATTCCCATAAAAAAAGTTAAAAATTAATGTCCATATTCAAAAGCTAAGCTAATGCATGAGTGCACTTACACAGGTGTATATACATTCTTACACACAGAGATACAGAAGGATGTATTTGTGTGTGCATGTGTGTGTGTGCATGCTCGTATGGGTGTGAGAGAGAGAGGTATACTGGGACATAGTTCCATTAGAACTAATGACAATTGACAAGTATACAATCAAACCTCAGAAATTAGATTCACTGGTTGCCGAAACATGTCCTGCTCTCACTAAACATCACATAGACTTTCAGCAAGAAGCTCTTATGAGAACTCATAGAAAAAAAAAAAAAAAATCACAAATTCAGTGTTTCGTTAAGTCAGGAATGACTCATACATTCTGCACAATACCCAGATCAAGACTTTATCTTCCAATGGGCACATGTCTAGAGATTCCGAAAAGATTGTTGCATAAGTAAAAGGAAAAATTTTTATACTTGCAGAATTAAAGAGACTAACCACGTCAGAGAAGGCAACAGAAAGAGATCCAAGAAGTATGCAGAATGCAGTACTATACTTGCTGTCGACAACCGTAGCCATCAAGCTCCATGAGAGTGCACCAAGAAGCCCTGATAGAACCAAGTATGACCTTCTCCGGTAACCAAATAGCGGGATGGAATCACTACAACAGAGAATGGTGTCACTCAAAAAAAATCCAAAAACATATTGAACGCTTCAAAATAAGTGAGGCTGACCAAATACAGAGTTTGTAAATAGAGATTAGAGACACACCTAATAAATCCATAAACAGGCTTAATAAGCCATGGCAATGCAGAAAAGCCAGATATAACAGCCGTCTAGCTAAACAAGTATAATTCGTCAGTCCTTTAGATCATGCTAAGAAAGCACAAACTCATTAAAATTCTACAATGCAAGATATCTCAACAAAATGCAAATAATTTCTAATTCAACCTCATCCAGCACGGGATGTTCGAAGACAAGCATACCTCTGCCGGATCAAGATGCAAATCATCTTTCAAGTAAAAGCTGACGGCGAGTCTCGAAAGACCTAAAACGCCTTGAACAAAATACACCATGGCAACAGCAACATTATCCGGTGACAGTTCAACACCAAAAATTTTCAGTCCGCTGCCAATATATCTAATTTTCCGCCGATAACTAGAAGTGTTCGTCTCTTGTTCCATGTTTGTTGTTAACAAATCCCCTTTTTCAGCACCTACCACCGCAATACATACATGTTTGATCAAATTTTTACTTTTTTGAGAAGAAAAATCAAATGCCTAACGAAACCTCAACGTATTCGAATTCTTTATACAATCAGTGAAGTTGGATTTTATTTTAAATCTTGTCAAGAAATGAGAGAGAGAAGTTACCGATTCTGGAATCTAGGAACGGCTCATCGTCTCTGTCGCCTCGGTGGGAGGAAGCTGGAAGTGGAGCGGCAACGGACATGCCGTTATTGTCTCGGCGAGAGTTCCGATGAGCTCTGCGGCGGTACGAAGCAGCTACGGGAGTGATCGATCTTCGGGGAGGGGAGAGAGAGAGAAAAATGGAGAAGAAAGAGAAAATGAACCTTGGTGAGGGTAATATTGAGATTGTAGGGAGAGCACGTGAAGGAGAAAAAGGTAAAAATGTAAAAAAGAAGATGCTAATTTTGTATTTTTCAATTTAAAGATGTTAAATTTGTTTGTTGTTAAATAAGTAATTAATTTTTAATATTTTATATTTAAAATTTCAATTTTTAATTTTTAAATAATGATGTTAATTTTTAATATTTTATATTTAAAAATATTAATTTTTAATATTTTATATTTAAAAATATTAATTTTTAATATTTTATTTAAAAATTTTATTTATCATATTAGTATCATTATTTAATTAATCTTTAAATAAAAAAATTAAAAATTAATATTTTTATTTAAAAACTAATAAAATTAATATTGTTTTTTCTAAAACCCATTAATTTATTTGTTTTTGCAATCTCCTACATTCCATGCTTGTGTTGCCTATAGAATTACGTAAACACCCTCCTAAAGTGACTCGGAATCTCGGCCTTTTGCTAAAAAGGGTGGGGCGGCCGCGAAGTGAGCTTCGCGGAACCGCTAAATGCGGATAATAGCATGGCACAATGATAATCCACCTCGAAAAGAATGGGCTTTGAGCCCATGCCTATAATCATGGTCCAATCAAATTACCGTTGGGCTTTGTGGCCGAAAAAGATCACTTGAACTAAACATGTACATGGATGTTCGATTTTTTTTTTTTTTTTTGGTTCCCATAAGAAGTTTGTTGCATTACATAATAAAAAAACAATTATCCGATTATTTAAATAATTTACTAGTAATTATTTTTTAATGAAAGTAAAAAATTTTATATTTGGGTTATATGACAGACGGATAGACTGGTTAAGAGATAAAAGAGAATTATTTCTAACTGTATAATTCAAAATTAAAATAAAATAAAATAAAAAACAATTCTTTCACATTTCTTAATACTCCTTAGTCACATTCTTACAACTTAAATACAAAATCTCTTATTTTAAGTACAAAAATATTATCATTGAGTCACTCAAATCATCGAATAAATAAATTATTTTCTTTCTACTTAATGAGTCATATAAAACAAAACACAGAAAACTTTCTTCTCAATTCTTATGCCACCAAGGTGTGTCATCTTAATAGACTAAAGCAAACTTTTTAACCTTGAGCTCAAATATGAGTTTTTATAAGTATTAATTATCAAGGCGGTTGAGTTCTTATTACTTACTTTAAATTTCACCATTCATGTATTGATTTTCCTTTAGGTTGGATTCAACAATATGATATTAATTTGTGTACTCCTAAAGTCCCATTCCACCAAATCATGTATATATGACTGGTTTCATAAAATATAAAATGATGTACACATAATCACTCATCTTTCAGTGGATGATCAATAAAGAAATCCGGCTGATGTTGTGGTTGACATCCACCTTATTTGATTACTTTAAGATTTCGTATCTTCCTTTGAAAAACAAGGGGCTTTTAGTATTATTCCCATTGAATTATGCACTAAACCTGTCCCCATGAAATAGTGACTCTTATGTCAGGACCCTACTAAACAAATATTTGGAGACACAAATAGAATAATAATCTTCTTAGAAAAGCCTCAACAGCTGCTTATGTTGTGGGAAGACGACGAAAATAAAGAAAAGAAAAGAATTTATTTTCGGCTGCTCAAGTTAGTGGCTCTTTGGTGCACTAATCAAAGAATGATTACCATTTAAATTAAGGAAAAGATTTATACAATGTTTTTAGTCAGAAATCAGCATCTTAATCATTGCCACCAACTTTGAAAACCAAGACAAAAACCCCCTCCCAACACTAACCGCCGGTCCAATTACCACTTCAAGAAAAATATGAGGATGCTTTAGATTAGAGAATTCAAGTCGAATACCTCATGTTTCATTTTTAAGATGAAAGAAAAATATTTTGGAAAAGCAAAGGTATTGGTTCAGGTTGTATAAGCATAACCATTGCCCACGTTATAAAATTTTACATGGTGTTTTTTCTTTTTAATACATTGAAATGTTAATTATTTAATATCAACTAACGACCTGTTGGTCCGAGTAGAAAGTATTAAGGAAAGTAAATCCCCTCCATGAAGTCCTGGATTGTCTCCATGAAATCCCAAATTTAGAAGATCTCGGAACTGCAATTGTAAAAGTTTTGGAACTGCAATTGTAAATAGTGTTTCCTAGTTGGATTAGACTCTGTAATGTATAAATTGTACTACTCCATTCAGTAATAAGACCATGAAGAAATCCTTCTTTGATTCAAGCCTTCATACCTTGATAGTGGTATCAGAGCATACCTTCTCTCACGAGATCTCTAATCCTATGGCTACTCGTGACGAAACTCCCAACTTAGTAGCATCCAAACACTCGGCTGCAACCATGCTTGAACCCAACATCACCCGGAATCCAATTTCCTTTAACTCTGCAGCTTTTCTCGTCAAACTCACACCCAACAACTATCTCTCTTGGAAAGCTCAGTTCGTGTTGCTTCTTGGAGGCTATGAACTTGATGGTTTCCTTGACGGATCTCATCCTTGTCCTGTAGCAACTGAGCCCACCTGCAGTCTGTGGGCATGCCAGGATCAACTCCTCCGTCATGCCTTAATTACCTCTGTTTCAGAGAACATCACTCTTTACATAGCTGCCACTGCCACTGCACAGCAAGCCTGGGAAACCTTAGCCAAACTTTATGCCAATCGCTCTCGCACACGGGTCATAACCCTCAAGGAACAGCTCCAAACCATGAAACGTGATGGTCGTCCAGTCTCTGAGTATCTTCGCTCTCTGAAAACTGTGGCAGACGAGCTTGGCACCGTGGATCATCCACTTTCTGATGATGATCTCATTGTTTATATACTTAATGGACTAGGATCGGAGTTTCGGGAAATTGCTGCATCCCTCCGGACTCGTGACTCATCTCTTTCTTTTGATGATCTACATGACTGATTAGTGGCTCATGAAGAAAGTTTACGCCGCGACGAAGCTCGGATTGACACCTCCCCGGTAACAGCTTACTTTGCTTCTAATGCTGGATTAACATCATCTACATCTTCCAGTGTAAGTCCCTTTCCTACCTCTGGTCGACAATCTCAATGGCATTCCCAACAACATCACGGACGGGGAAGTTCTAATCAATCCAATAGGCCAAATCAGCATCGACGTCGTGGACAAGGCCCAAGGTATCCAACTCGTCCCACTGGATCCACTTGCTAATTATGCGGACATGCTGGACATTTGGCTTGAAATTGCCCCAGTTTTTGGGTCTAGTCCGTTGGCCCAATGGCTAACTTTGCGTCCTCTTCAAATGGTTTTCTTGATGATTGTTTGTTGGACTCCGGTGCTAATAATCATGTTACAACAAACTTGGCCAACTTAGCACTTCATTCTGAATACAATGGTCCTAATGAACTGCAAATTGGTGATGGAACAGGTTTGAAAATCACACACGTTGGTCACTCCACCCTACACACACAAAAGTCCTCCTTACCTCTTCATAATGTCTTATGTGTTCCATCCGCCTCTCAAAATTTAATTTGTGTTTTTCAACTATGCAAAACTGCTAATGTTTATGTTGAATTTCACTCTAATTATTTTCTGGTGAAGGACTCTTGCACGAGGAAGATACTGCTTCAAGGACCAAACATTCATGGGATCTATCAAATTCAAGGAAAAATTAGTCCTCAACCACATGCCTTCATAGGAGAACGCACTACCATGGCGAATTGGCATTCTCGTTTAGGTCATCCTTCCGTCAAGACCCTAAAAAATGTTGTTACTTCCTTTAATCTTCCATTATCTAATAAAATCAATTTTTCTTCATGTGATTCTTGCTCATGCTCCAAGAGCCATAAATTGCCTTTTTCTGAGTCATCTATCACCAGTACTACACCACTTGAACATGTCTTTTCTGATGTGTGGGGCCCTGCTCCTGTTACTTCAATTGATGGTTTTAATTATTATGTGTTGTTTATTGATCATTTTAGTCGATATATTTGGCTTTACCCACTCAAACGCAAATCTGATGTCTTTTCGGTTTTCCAAAAATTTAAATTATTGGTTGAAAATCAATTTGATAAAAAAATCAAGAACCTCCATATTGATGGCGGGGGCGAATATGTGGCTCTTCGTCATTTTTTATCTCAACATGGCATCTCACATTTTACTACCCCACCATACACTCCTGAACTTAATGGCATTAGCAAGCATCGGAATCGACATATAGTCGAATCTAGCCTTGCTCTATTGCACACTGCATCTCTTCCTTCTAGTTTTTGGTCATTTGCATTTCTCAGAGCCACTTACCTCATTAACAGACTCCCTTCTCAAGCCATTGCACATAAATCTCCTTTTGAAACATTGTTTCGTCTTAAGCCAAATTATCATAAACTTCGGGTTTTTAGTTGTCTTTGTTTTCCATGGCTCCGACTCTATAACTCCAACAAGCTTCAATACCGCTCTCACCCTTGTTTATTTGTTGGATACTCCTTTGAGAATTTGAGTTACAAATGCCTTGATCTTTCTACAAAAAAAAAAAAGTGTTTTATTCTGGGCATGTTATTTTTCAAGAGCACACCTTTCTTGCGCCATTTAAACACTCGTGTTCTCCACCACCTGATTTCGCGTTGGATAGCCTAGACGATCTGCCATCGCCACTTGTTGTCTCCCTTGTGGCTCCTCATGAATCTTTGGTTCACAAAGTTGTACCTCCTGCAATAGTCCGCATCGCCCAACCTCCCGTTACCTCACCAACCTGCCCAGCCTCTACTCCTCACCCGAATCTCAACAGCCACATGTACCCACCTCCATTGCTTCCCCACCTCTCCCTCCACACTCCCCTAAGCCTATCATTGAGCCCATTCCCCAACCTTAACCATTGCCACCTCCAAAGCCCATTCGAACTCACCCCATGCTTACCCATTCTCAAAACAACATCTTTAAGCCTAAATTCATCCACCAGGCCGTCTCTACCTCTCCTGTTCCCATTTGTGAACCCACTTGTGTGACTCAAGCACTGAAAGATCCCAATTGGCGGAACGCTCTGTCTGAGGAATTTAGTGCTTTGGTTCGTAAGGAACCTGGGAATTAGTTCCTTTTACTCCTGATCAGCACCTTATTGGTTGTAAGTGGGTGTTTCGTATTAAATGAGCCAAAGATGGTAGCATTGAACGCTACAAAGCACGCCTTATTGCCAAAGGCTTTCATCAACGTCCAGGTTCGCATTACTCTAATACTTTTAGTCTGGTGATTAAGCCTACTACCATTCTTACTGTGTTGTCTATTGCTGTTAGCAAGAATTGGCCTATTCGTCAATTGGATGTCAACAATGCCTTTTTGCATGGGCATCTTGAGGAAAAATTGTTCATGGCACAACCAGTTGGCGTTGTTGATCCTGCTCTTCCTCATCATGTGTGTCGGTTGCGGAAATCTATTTATGGGTTAAAGCAGGCTCCACGGGCGTGGTTTCAGGAACTCAAGTAGTTTATTATCTCTTAAGGTTTCTCCCATTCTCGCTCTGATTCCTCTTTGTTTGTTTATCACCGGAATTCGACCTGGATATATTTCCTTGTTTATGTGGATGACATCCTCATTACTGGTAGTGATCCCTCTGCTGTGTCTTCTCTGATAAACTGCATGAGTACTAGATTCTCCATTAAAGATTTGGGTACTCTTAGCTATTTTCTTGGCATTGAAGCAGTTCCCACCAGTGCAGGACTCTTCCTCTCTCAACACAAGTATGTTAATGATCTCCTCCATCATTTTCGGATGCATGAGGCTGAGCCGGTTGCCACGCCACTTGCTACTAATATTGGTCTGCAGCTTCTCTTTGGCACTGCTTTTTCAGATGGTTCCGATTACCAGCGTCTTATTGGTTCCCTCTAGTACCTCACTTTCACTCGACCTGACCTGTCATTTTCTGTCAACAAATTAGCTCAGTTTATGCATCGACCCACAGAGCTGCATTGGCAGGCAGCAAAATGACTTTTGCGGTACTTGCGCGGTACTCTGTTTCACGGGCTGCTTCTTCGGCCTCAATCTTCTCTCAACTTGCATGCTTATTCAGATGGGGACTGGGCTAAAGATCAGGATACAATGGTTAGCACCACTGGGTATATAGTCTTTCTTGGTCAGAATCCGATCTCCTGGCGAGCTGCAAAGCAAAAAGCTGTTGCTCGAAGCTCCACTAAGGCTGAATATTGTGCTCTCGTTGCTACAGCCTCTGAAGTTGTCTGGATTCGACATTTGCTTGGTGAACTTGGGATCTTTTGCTCCCCTTCTTCCGCCATCTTTTGTGACAACATTGGCGTCACCTATCTTAGTTTAAATCCTGTTATGCACTCGCGCATGAAGCATATAGCTATAGACTTGCATTTTGTTCGGGATTTAGTTGATCAACGTGTTCTTCATGTCTCCCACATTGCATCCCAAGATCAGCTTGCTGATGGGCTCACAAAGCCCCTCTCTTCCATCTGGTTTTCTCACTTACGGTCCAAGATTGGAGTTGCAAATGGCACCACCGTCTTGCGGGGGTGTATTAAGGAAAGTAAATCCCCTCCATGAAGTCTTGGATTGTCTTCATGAAATCCCAGATTTAGAAGATCTTGGAACTGCAATTGTAAAAGATTTGGAACTGTAATTGTAAATAGTGTTTCCTAGTTGGATTAGATTCTGTAATGTATAAATTGTACTGCTCCATTCAGTAATAAGACCATGAAGAAATCCTTCTTTGATTCAAGCCTTCATACCTTGATAGAAAGAACTCGATTCTTTTTAAATAAGGTATCAAGTTTGAGTTTTGTAAATAAAGAAGCAGATGTTGAAAAAGTTTTCCCTCTAATGGGATTCGACGCGACTCGATTTTGAATTAATCGAAATTTAACGTGATTACCGCATATCAAGAAGCTAATGCTAGAAAAAAAAAAAAAAAAAAGAAGGTTGATTTCAATCCCTAACTTTAATTCTAAATTAATATTTTTAAATTAATAAACTAAGTTAGTCAAATTTTATGTTAAATTCTTATTAGCATAGAATTTCACATAATGTCAAAAGTTAATAAAGTATAAAGATACCTCAACATAAAATTTTTTTAATTTAAATTACTTAATAAAAAATAACTTTATCTCATTCTTTAATCTACTCCTTTAATCTAACCCAAGCCATGCCATTCAATATACAACTTATGATATATATATATATATATTGAAAATAACTTATGATATATATTGAGGTGTTATTAGTCGGTGAAACCTAAAATTTTTTATATGTCAAGTTTTTCTTTTAATTATTGTCAGTTGCACCACTCTCCGATGCGATATGCCATTATCGATGCACATGCCTACAATTCGAATCTATAATCTCTCAACCGCTTTGATGATTCGCTGCATGTCAGGTTTTGTTGGTTAAGATACGTTTACATGGTATCCCATTGCATCCAAGAAGTTTTAGAATAGAATAGAAGAAAATTTGACAAATCTAGTTTTGGATGGGAAAACAAGAACAAAGGACCAAAGCACCAAACTAGATTCCACCGTCCAGGGTATGGGTCAATTTGATATATATTTTTTTTCTTCTTGGATTCATGTAAATTTTGAAGAAACCCTAAAAAATAATTCTTCGTTGCTTCTTGGTTGAAGAACAGAGTGATGAAGATGAACATGAAGAGAAATGTCAAGAACAAGCCCCATAGATAACATCAGAATCCGATTTCTCCATTTCATCTTCCAAGGCAATCTCCTGATGCCGGCATTCGCGACTGCAGAAAGCTTTCTCTCCTCTGGAAAGAACAAAAAATTTCATGAAATCAATACCTAGTTGTTCTTGAAGTGAAAACAGAGATCAAATGTCTAAAGTAAGCAGAAATCATACTAAATATGGGAACTTTGAAGCTTACTTGTACATGAAAATATCTTTTCCCTGTCCAAGATTCTTCTTGCATGTGTAACAGAAGCTGAGAAAATTTTCCGATTGGTAATTTGGTTCAACTCCGGGCAATCCGTTCTCCTTCCTCAGGGCAGAGAATCCGACAACACCACAGGAGCTCTCCACAATGCAATCGTCAAAAATATGGGTGGTTCTCGGATTGGGCCCGTGAGATATGACGCAAGTGTAATCCTCGGAGAGCTCCATTTCAGTTGCAGAGAGACACCCGGTGAAAACCCGAGGAGAATTGGCAGCATCCATGCCGGAATTTACAGACCTAAATCCAGATTTCTTCACCGGAGAAGGAGATAACCCGGAGGGGAACGAACCCATTCGAGAATTCCTCGTCTTGATACCGAACTCCGAAGGGGATTTGGGTGAATCTGCCGGAGAAAGAACAGAAGGAGGCAGGGGAGGAATCTGAATCCTCAGCTGAGACCCCAACAGGACCACTCGGGTCTCGGGTTTTGACAGGTTGGGATCGGAATCATCGTCCCGAAGAGCATCGACAATGCCCAGGCCGATCCCTTTGCAGTCGAGCTTGTGTCGCGTTTCTGGTTCTGGGGTTCTGGGTGTGCCAGTATCGGACCAGAAAACGTTTCTTAGACTGGTGAACGGTTTGCCGTCGAGAATGGAAGTCGGGCTCATGACAGCCTCGTTATTATCAGACAACGCTTTCAAGGTGGCGAATCCAGTAAACAACCTCGGAAATGAAGCGGCTCTTCTGTTCTTGTCCACCGGAGATGGAAGATTGCCATTGCCTCCACTTTCAGCCATTTTTAAAGCAACATTCATCAAAGTCTCGCACTACAAAGAAATAAGAAAAATTAAACCAAAAACATAAATAAAAACAAATCCAGATAAAAGATTGAACAGAGAAAAGAGATTCACCCACCAGAGAAGTTCAATCTTTTATCTAGAAACCACCATGGATTCCAAAAATCTTTGATCAAAGCTACTACCTTACAGCTTGGAAGAACAAGAAAAACTAAGGATTCTGAATCCCCTAAATTAGAGACTACAGAAAAAGCAACCAATTTTACAAAACCCAGAGACCAAAAAATCCAAACAAGCCACGAGTTTGCCTCTCTAAAAACTCAGTAGCTGCCATTTGAAACCAGAAAAAGGGGGGGGGGAATCAAAAGGAAGAAGATGAAGCAGTTCACTTGATCCCCCAAATATTTCTCTATAGATTCTTCAATTTCTCAGGGATAATCCGTCTGGGGTCAGAAAAGATATGGGAGGAGGGCCTCAAAAGAGTCACGATCAGTGAGACCAGAATGCTTCAAAAAGCAGACCAAAGAAGGTTTTGTAATTTTGTTACCCTGTAAAAAGCTTTCTTTATTGGCTCTGTTTTTCTCTCCCTTCCACTTTTATTTATCTTTTTAATTCTATAGCAGACACCCAAAACCCCCGAAATTAAAAATCAAAACCTTTGAAGACGCAGACAACACAAGACCCGCCCCACCACCCAAGAAAATAGAAAAAGGCAAAAGAAAAAGAAAACCCAAAACTAAGTTCTCTTCTCTTCCTTCTTTAGTGGGTCATCCTTTTAGTAGCATTTTATGCTCTGTTATTGCTCTGTTTCTGCATCATCAGCTCTGAAAAAAAATCACCATGGCCCATGCATTTGCAGAGAAATGACAGAAGAAAGAGAAAGAGAATGGAGTTATATTGAGGGAGTTGTTGATCATGAATGATCATGATATAGACGCGTGGTGTACTGCATGCGAGTGTGTGGGTTTCCGGTAAAACCACCTCTTTACTGGCCGGATATGGCAGTTTGATCTTTGACGTCGTTTGGCTCTTGTCAAAGAACTATTACGTAATTAACTCTTTTTTTTATTTTCCTCATTTTTTCTCTAAGGCTGGTGATGGTTCTGTTCTTTTTCATCGGAATTTTGATCGGCGCTCAGTACACTTACCAATTACCATTCTCTGGTGGACAACTATACTGACTACTTACGTGAAAAATTTTAAGCAATACCACACCTGGAATCTTTTTTTATACATTATTATGTAATTATTAAAAATTATTAAAAATATAATATTATATAATAATTATTTTTTTTATATTGGTACATAA